ACTTAAGTATACATTACTAACTCATGTCAGTTTCCACTCTAAATGTCTGTGCTTCTGTTACTGACTCCTTTATTCTTTTAGTCTCCAAAGCATACCCATCCCCCAATCGTAATTTAACAGTAATCATGTCCTAGTCTATTTTCCTCCCAACTCTCTCTGTTTTCACTCTCCTCCATAAATGGACTAGTCTGGACATATACATCCCTATCTTGAATATGTGGCAGCCCTTTAGCTAGGACTCCCCCAGCTCTACCCACTTGCTCACTGTACATTTATACTGCAGCATAAGTATGTATTTATACATTTATACTGTAGTATAAACGCTTTCTGTGTTCAGTGGATGCTGTCTGTCCACCCCCAATATCATTGCTACAATAATCATCTGTAAATACTATTTTTATTGCCTTTCTTCTGTTCAAATACTTCTGCTACTCTCTCTTTCCTAGTTGACACTCATGCTTCATAGTCTCTCCCAAGCACATGCACTGATCTGCAGCCTTCTTTTAATCAAATATTATTTCTATTTTTAACCAGCACACAGCATCCATTTTTAGTTTAGTATTACTCATATAAACAAATTGTAACCCCTTCATTTCTTCAACCTTACCAAGTTCTTTCTGCCTCAAATGCTCACCTCACTGTCATATCCAAATCTTGCCCTGCACACCATGTCACTCAAGCATTATATCTCTTAGAAAATGCCACTTACTTACCTAAACTTCACTAGTCTTTCTCATTCTTTCTTCACAAACTTGTAACAGATACACTCTGTACAGCCTAAATTACTACTTGTTAGGTATGAGCTAGTATTGGCTGTTGTTTCACAAGATAACTCTTATGTCCCCCAGTAGAGATAACACTTCTGGAGCCAAGGTTCACTATTTCTTCTCTTATGTCTGCAGAACCTACTCAGAAAATCCAAAGTAGGTGTTCAATGAATACCTGATGGCTGACTGCAGAATGACTGATCTACCCCTTGTATGGTTTAATATCCAACCAAAGTTTTGTTTTTTTTTATCCTACACTGAAATGGTATAATTATATTTTCTTCTTATTAAATAAAGCAGATATTAAATATAACAAATTTATCATTATAACCATAGTAATAGGAATAGACATGTAATTTTAAAATAGATCATGCCATTATAGTAAAGCACCAGTATCAAATTAACTGTAAGGATAACATGCCACTGTATTCAATTTTCACAAGCAGTCATTGAGGCTTCCCCTGTGCCTGGCACTAGAGGCTCAATACAGACAAAAAGAAGCAGTATCTCTACCCACATGGAGTTGACAGTTAGATGAAGGGGACTGACTTTAAACAAAATTTGATTACAGTAATGCCAGAAGAAAAAAAGAGAAAGGTTTCCCATAATGACCATGTGTAATTTCCGTTTCTGACCAAGTATGGAGTATCACAAAAGACTGGAGAGGAGAATTTGTACGGAAGAGAACCTCTCAATGTGTACCTGCTTTCCCAGTGAGGCCCCACTGTGAAGAGTTCAGGAGCTGCCCTTTCACCCCCCTGCAGAAGAGTAAGAGCAACAGTTAAGGCAATTCCAAGACTTTCAGAGGCAACAGAGACATGGGAAGTAGATGTGGGTGAACAAGGTTTCAGTAGGAACGGTAAATTCTGAGTGACCACACCAGAAATTAAATTCAGCCACAACAAAGTAAAAGGTATAGTCGAAAAAGGTTTTCAGGGAAAAAAAAAAAAGTAGAGAATTTTAATGGATCCATTTAAATACATTAAACCAAATCCTACCCTCTAGGATATACACTGGAATTCCTTTTGGCTTAAGGAAGAAACTTGAAGAGTTTAATGGAAAACAGTCCATCTTTTATATCTACTAATGGAGACAGTAGCTTGGATCATTTTCTAACATCCATCTAAACAGTAATGTTCCTCGCCACCCTGCCTCATCACAGATAAGAATTGTATGAGTTGCATGGCTATCATTTCTGACAATGGGAACAAACTGTGAAATACCATTACTAGAAATGCAAAATATGATCATACATTTTTTATGGATAAAAATTATGTATAAAATTTCTAACTGTAAAAAATAATTTTTATCGACTCATCCCTGCTTTCTATAAAGTTCCATCTATCTCAAATGACCATTCATATCACCTCACAGCATCAAGGCCCTGCCCAAAGGCCTCCTGCCCCTTCCCTTGTCCCCAGTCTGTAAGCTCAGGTGCTTCTCATGTCCTCTTTCTTCATTCATCCCATTACAGCCATTTGTGTCTAGTCACTAACTCATCTATTATTGTTATTTTAGTCACTCTCTCTGCTGAATAATTTTGCATCCTTTAAGTAAACAAACTCTGATGAACATTTATATTTTAAATAGAAAGGTAGTTCCCCATAAATATTTGAATAAATGATAACTATTCTAGATATTTGAATGAGACAATATCAAATTCACAAGATAAATATGATTTTATCCCATAAATGTCCTTCAGTTGTAATCCAGAATATTGTATATGCACAAAGATAAGCATATATAGTATTCAAAATTATGTCCATTTCATCTGCAAATATCAGAGAAAATTTTTAAAAAGATTTATTTATGGGGCACTTCCTGGTGGTGCAATAGGTTAGGACACAACATTGCTAGCTAATGGCAGCCACTTCAGTGGGAGCTCAATCCCCAGCCCCTGAGGGGACCCACATGGCGCAGCAGACCTCTCCTGTCTCACCGCTGCTCCCCGCAGCAGTATATTTCATTGATCTGCCTGTTCTGCTATCAACTCTGCCTCTGGTGAATTCTCTCACTCCCCTGCACCTCTGGCCTGTACCCCAGTTCTGTATGCATAAATAAATAAATCTTATAAAAAAAGATTTATTTATACATAAAAGAGCTGCAGTGTAAGCCAGAGGAGCAGGGGTTGAGAGGATGCACAGGAGATAGAGCAGGGAGCAGAACAGGTGGATCTACTGATATATGCTGCTGAGGGGAGCAGAGGGTGAAACAGGAGAGGTCTACTGCACCTACATGCGGGTCAGTTCCCTGGCTGGGGCTTGAACACATGCTGCAATGACTGCTGATAACTGGATAGTGCTGAGACTTCATCCTTTTTTACCACCAGGGAGGCCCAAACATCACAGAATCTTAAGAGTCAGAATATTCTTGGTGATAATTTATTTTAACCTCATCATTTCACTTGGAAGATAAGGGAGTCAATGGAATACAATTAGGGAGTCAGAGGTGTAATGAATACCAATTCTTTTTTATTGTTAAGGTCTTTTTTACTAAGTTGATCTACAACACTATAGATGTTTTAGTTGTATAGGTTCACACTTCTTCAAATACACATCATCAGGCACCATCAGTTGTCCACCGGAGTCCAATGGCATCTTCCCCCTTTGTTGCCTCCTCTGATAACCTCAGTTCTACATTCAGGTTTCAAGAATTTGCTTTGTTTTGGTCTTTTCTGTTTCTCTGTTTCATTTTTATATGCCACATATGAGTGAAATCATGGGATATTTGTCATTCTCCTTCTGACTTATTTCATGCAGCATAGTCCCTCCCAGGTCTAGCTATGTTGTTGTAAGTGGCAGTATTTCGCCTTTTTTTGTAGTCAAGTAGTTTCCTGCTCTGTGTATATACCACAGTTTCTTTATCTGCTCACCTGTTGTTGGACACTTAAGTTTTCTCCATAAGTCATCTGCTGTAAACAGTGATACAATGAACATAAATTGCTATAACTTTTCAAATTAGTGTCTTTGTAAGAATAAAATTTTTCAACCACATGGTAGATTTATTTTTGATATTTTGAGAGAATCTCCATACTTTTTTCCATAGGGGCTGTATCGGTCTACATTTCCAACAACAATCTCAGAGGGTCCTTTGTCTCCACACCGTGGCCAACTCTTTCTTTCTTTCAATGATCCCCAAACTTCCAGAACATATCAAATGTGATGTTCCCTACCAGTGATTGCTGTCTCATCAGCTATATTTCAGGTTCCCTTATGCACAATAATAAGACCTTTCCTTGAAAAAATGCAAGAACCTTGCTAATAAACTGAGAAGCAACAAAAAGTTACCAAGTTTATTCAAAATTTACAGGACTTAAAAGGGATTTGTATTTATAGAATAACAAGGTACTTCGTGAAGTTTTTATTGTTTTCTGAAAACCCTTTTATAGTGCTTTTTGGGGTGTGGGAGAGAGTCAATAGATGATTATTGAACTCTTCTCTAAAAGCAGAAGCAGAATCATCAGTGAATCATTGGGTAAATGCATCCTGCCCAAAGATGCAAGCTGTCTCATGGAATCATAGCAGAGTGCCAGCAACTGGGCAGGCATTTCAACCTTATAGTCTTTTCACCAAAAAAACTGGTCCTGACTTTTTTTTTTTACCATGTAAATATACAGATCTAAAATGACTGTTTGGTTGGGGGGACTTATCTGAATTTAAAAGTGATTATTTCAGTGATAGCGATTATCAGATGGTTGTTTCTTTAATAAATTTGCAATGTAAATAGAATGGCAAAATCCTATGTCAAAAGCTATGCAAAGGGAAAATTAGTGTATTACAGTATTTTATTACATAGGTACAACCAAATATGAATTATATATACATAATGTGTACTTAGAAATATGTGTAAATATATCTATACATATGCATTGTTTATTTTTATGTACATATTTAAACACAAGTAGTGTGTGTTGTGTGTGCAGTGTATGGCTCAGCAGGCCTCTCAGTGACGTTTAGTCTATATCAACTACAGAGTTTGATGCAGAGCTCTCAGTGAACAGCAAATTCTTGTTAGCCCAACAGGGATACAGACATTCTTCTCAGCAGCACCACCTTCTACCTTGTCCTCCTACTCCCTGTTCTGCAACTGGGAGAAGAGAGCTTTCTTCTTTACCAAATACCAGTTCATATCTCTACCAGCCAGCCCGTGTCCTGGTCACCAGGATAAGCAATGTGCTTGTTTTAATACTGCAGAATGAATTTTACATTCTGATCTTTTTTTTTTTCTTTTCAGACTGTATTTTCTGTGAACCCTAATCAAGTGATACAAATGTGCTGCAATGGTGACATAAATTATTGACTGGACTGGAAAAATAGCAGAAAACACCATCTTTTCTACTTTTATGGTGCTTCTATTTGAACAGTCTGAGGGACATATATACAACATGAGTTTTATCATGAAGCTTCACAGACACTTTCAAAGGACAGTCATTCTACTTGCCACATTTTGTATGGTGAGCATTATCATTTCTGCCTATTATCTGTACAGTGGCTACAAGCAAGAAAATGAAATCTCTGAGATGGCCTCAGAAGTGGACTGTGATGACTTCCAGCACCTCCCATACAGGCTGATGGAAATGAAGACCACAAAGCTTTCTGATGCCTCAAGGACTGATACCACGGTCCTGGTGTTTGTGGAGAGCCAGTACTCATCACTTGGCCAAGATATCATTATGGTTCTAGAGTCAAGTAGATTCCAGTACCACATTGAAATTGCTCCTGGAAAGGGGGATCTCCCAGCACTTACAGAAAAAATGAAAGGCAAATATATTCTCATTATTTATGAGAATATTTTAAAGTATATCAACATGGACTCCTGGAATCGAAGCCTGCTTGATAAATACTGTGTAGAATATGGCGTGGGTGTCATTGGATTCCACAAATCTAGTGAGAAGAGTATACAGAGCTTTCAGTTAAAAGGTTTCCCTTTTTTCATATATGGAAACCTTGCAGTAAAAGACTGCTGTATTAATCCTCATTCTCCATTACTTCATGTGACCAAATCTTCTAAGCTTGAAAAAGGTTCTTTGCCCGGAACTGACTGGACAGTTTTCCAGATTAATCACTCAGCCTACCAACCAGTAATATTTGCCAAAGTAAAGACCCCAGAAAACCTTTCTCCTCCCATCTCGAAAGGTGCTTTTCATGCTACTGTCATCCATGACCTGGGGCTTCATGATGGAATACAAAAAGTTTTTTTTGGCAACAACTTGAACTTTTGGCTGCACAAGCTCATCTTCATAGATGCTGTTTCCTTCTTGTCAGGGAGGAGGCTCACATTATCCTTGGACAGGTACATTCTCGTGGACATTGATGACATCTTCGTGGGAAAGGAGGGAACAAGAATGAACACCAATGATGTTAAGGTAAGCTGGATTATGTCACAGTTTCCCGGTTTAGTTCATTTCTTAGTAGGGTGAACAACCATCGCCATTTGTACAGGACTGAGTACCTAGATGATGGGGCTTTTATCAAGAAAATCTTAGGCACAATGGGTTAGTTGGCTACCATGTGTATTAGTAATAAAACAGCTAAATCAATAGCATATTTCTCTGAATCAAGAATGAAAATTACACTAAAGGTTTGAGTGTGGCAGGTTCAGAAATTGTTTGTGGTTTCAAACTAAAAAGTAAAACTTATTCTAGAATTTCTCTAACTTAGAAAACTATTACTAATCTAGGAAGACTTTAGTCCACTTAAATATGAAATTAAAATAAATAATTTAATGAAATAAATAGAAATAGAGCATTTTATTTTAGAAATTTTCAAGAACTAAAGACATCAAATAAAGCACATTTATATGTTTTTGCAAGTCAAAGGTCTAGCTCATTTTCTTTTATATTTGCTTGAAACTGCAAATTAACACTACTAAGTATAGAAAGCTGTGACTATACAAGCACACTTAGTCACATGTAAATACAAAGATTCACATAAACTTTTGAAATGTATTGACCACCTCTAATATATATAGTTGAAGCCCTGTATTTTAAGTATATTAGATTTCTTCTTGTAAAACTGCTGCTCTTAGTAAATAATTATTTGAAGATACTTATTGTAATGCTTGTGTTACATAAGCTACTGGTTATTTAATGTTAATGAAATTTAAGATTTAAATGACCTTGTTATCTTAGTTTTCCATCCAAAATGCCATGGGATTCCATCTCTGTTTTATTACATGATGATTTCTTATAAAAGTGAGAGGAGAGAATTCTGATAATTTTTATTCTGTACAGCTATGACCTTTTGGTAAAATATGAAGAACTAAATCAGATGGAAAAATATCTTGAAAGTGCATTCTTTTCTCCAGATACTAAGCATCTGGCAAATCTGAAAAGAAAAAAACCCTCCATATTCTTAGTGATAATCTTCCTTTTAACATGATAGAAATTAATAAAAAGGTTGTGCTTTAGTTTTTACTGTCTTTCAAAATACAGCTTTGAAAATACAGATAACAGCACACTGGTAATTTAAACATTTATTACATGCTTGAAAATTATAAACAGTACATAGTTCCTTTCCAACTTTTCTATTTCAAAATATTGTGATAAAAATATTTTAGATTTTATTTCTAAAATAAAATGCTCTAAAGCTGCCAGAAACATGTTATTATGCCTATAAAAGCTCTGCGTTTTTGCAAACCCCTACTATGTACAAGTATTTTTATAGTTTATAGCTTTTTTAACTTTTAAAATATAAAATGCCTTTTATACTCTTAAAGTTAAGCTAATTTAAGTCATATAAAAACCTACAATCTTAATGAGCAAATTCATGTAAGAAATATTTTATGAATTGTACACATTTAGATTAGGAATATATTTTCTAACTAATCTAAGGACTTAAAAATGAGCATGATTTGGTTTACATGGGCTTTAAAGCTGCTAAATTGTATCTGGTATTTTGTCTCAAACACTAATTCATTGTAGGCAATTTCCATTTCTAAATGCACTCATTCATTCATATTTTTTTATTGATTCATCCTATAAGTAGTTATTAAGTAGGTATTATATGTGAAGCTTTCTTGGTAATATGTAGATAGATACATAATACATGATTTTACTCATTTGGAACAAAGACAGCTAGATAGCAGGCAAGTACAGGTATGGAAGCTTAGGAAGCACATCGTTTGTGATTGTGCTGAGCATCTTTTCTGCTTAGCTTCTGAATGGTTGGTAGTATCGCATGTCTGGAAGAGAGGCAGACACTGGGGGTAGAAAGATAAATAAAGCCAAGTTCTGCTCTTAAAGTGCCTACTCCCAGTAGAGGGAGCAGGGAGTAGATAGCTGGAAGAGATAAATAGGTAAACAGTTCACAGCGGGGTAAGCACAGTGGTAAAGGCATCCGCACAGTTTTGTGTGTAATGCTGGAAACATAATGCGCTGTGTGCCAGAAATTACTGAGTCCTGCTTAGCAGTACAGAACTTTAAGATAGGGCTAGAGTGACAAGAGGATTTGGTAGACTATGGCAGTAGTATTTAGACAAAAGAAGGCAACTTCTTGAAACCAGGAAACTAGACTACAAAGGGGAAGAACCAAGAACTATTTAGGAGGTAAAATTAAACAACCGAATAACTGGATCAATGGAAATGAAAGAGAATCTACTCAAGGATGACATTTTTAGATTTTAGCATCAGTTAATAACAGGTGATCATTCTGAGAATGGAGAAAGCGGAGAAGGCAAGAGGATCACAGTGAAGGTCATGAGAGGTCACATTTAAAATGTGCATCCGGGGCAAGGAGGTGGAGATGTTTAACAGGCATGAGAATTCTGGGTAGGAAGGATGTACTTTGAGGTCATCATTCTATACAAGGAATGGTTTGAAGCACCTAATGGTTTGAAGTCACCAGCAGAAGGGTTTATAGAGTGATAAGGGAAGGTGACTGAGTGTAAAACCTTGAGAAAAACCATTTGTCAGAAACGTAGAGAAACAGGACCCTATGAACAAGAATCCAAAAGAATAATCGAAGACCAGGAAGCTCAAATGTCATATTAACCCTGGGAGTAAAGAGCTTGAAGAAGAGATATCTGCAGAATTAAATCCACCAGCAGGGTCCCCTCAAGTTAGGACTGGCAGGTTTCTTCTGGAAAAAGAAAAGTGATTGGAAACTCTTCCAAATCCTTCTGAACGGAGAGCTAGAGGAAGGGGCACAACTGTAGTGAGTCTAGGAACATCTTAGAGGGGTAAGGCTAGGAGGAAGCAAGTGGGGTCCTCACCCAGGAAATTTTGATCTGAAAGAGAAAGGCATAATTACCTGGAGGAAGGACTGGCGCTCGAGTGGGTAGGGTTAGGCCCAGGCAGACTGGGATGATGCATTCCCTAACCAGCTAGGGTGAGGGAGGGATATTTTCCTATGAAGAAAGATTAAATAATATGCAATCCAACCAAAGATCATAGATTTGGTTATAAACAATAGAAATATTTTAATCAAGTTCTTTTTTATAAATCACTTGTGAATAAATACCTTCTCCTTATTTGAAATATTAAAAATATTGGGAAAATCTGAAAATGAGAAATTGAAGTTAATGTAGAATGTTATACAGAAAGACAGTAAATAGCATGTGCATTTGAAACTATTATACCAACCAATGCAAAGACTTTTTTTTTTCCTTATGTAAAGCAAAAACTATTTAATCAGAATATTAGAATTAGCAAGGCAATAGCAGTTTTCAACTACTTAGCTGCTGAATAACATGAGTAGCTTTTAAGGAGCCTCCAAGCTAAAGAAACTGTGACATAGAATAAAAATGAGTTTTCACGAAGACAAAAATACACCCAAACTAACCTGTTATTCTCATTAGCTAAAGAGTTTATAACTTACAAGTCGTAGCTTTTAAAGAATGAAGAAGATAATTTTGAGAATTAAAATATTCTTCAAAAGTGGCAATACTACAATTAGGGTGAAGTCAGAAATGGTGTGTGTGTTTCTTGAACTATAATGAACAGGACTTGTCTCAAACAGACCATGAACTAGTCTATTCAAGTTCCTGGCCCTCCCTGGTGGCACAACAAATTAGGACGCAGCACTGCAAGCTGGCGAAAGCCACTTAAGTGCGTGTTTGACCCCTGGCCCCGGAGTGACCCACATGGCGTGGCAGACCTCTCCTGACCCGCCCGCTGCTCCCCTCAGCAGTGTACTTCAGTCAGTCTGCCTATTCTGCTCCCCATGGTGAATCCTCTCACCACCCCTGCACCTCTGGCCTATACCCCAGTTCTGTATGCATAAATTAATAAATCTTTTAAAAAAATAAATTCAAGTTCCTTGTGTTCTTGGGGTGTATGCATTCAGACTTCCTGAGACTAAGCCTACAGAAAATTTCTGGAGAGGAATGTGCAATATAGACAAATGTGTTTTTCCCATTAAAACATTTTAAAGTTAGACTTTCAGCATGAGTCAATGAATATTAACAACTCAAGTTCTCTTGGCCTCAAGTCCACGAGACATACAATATTTCATGTAGCACGTCACCCGGAGACAGATCGACAGCGGAACAGAGAGGAGACTAGTATAGGTGGTCCTTCAGGGTTTTACTGAATTCTCTGCAGTTATTCTCAACAAAAGACCTCATATTCTCTTTCCCCTATGTTTCTCTTTTCTCTTTCTGCAGAAGAGATACTTCTTTTTCTAAATTTAACAAAATTTCTAACATTCATGAGAAAACGAAGGGCCATACCTGTGCCTTTACAGAGGTGCCTGTCCAATGACAGCCTCCCTTCCCCTCACCTCACTACCTCAGACCATTCTAGCTTTCCCAGACTTTACTAGTCCTTCATATGGCTGCGAATTACTGCTTAAAACACCCACATTTTTTAAGCCATCTCACAGAGAGGGGAGATCTTAAATCTTTAATAAAATGTCATGAGTGATGTATTGTTGTTTCCCTCTCTATCTGACCATACAAGAGGCCTAGGGAAAAGAAAACACTGGAAATAGACGTAGGGAAGCCATAAAGCCCTTAGAAATCTGTGGCATGGGGCTGGCAAGGCAAACTTGGCTGACTTCTCAGGCTCCAAGGGGCTGCTCAGGGAGCTGCAGGGGGAGCTTACACAAGCACACTAGGGCCCCAGCTAAGGGAAAGTCAGAGGTGTCATGAAATCACTGAAATAGAACTGAACATTCCAAATGTTTAAGGGGGGTATGGGTTGTAACTGCAATCAATTATTCTGTCATGAGTGAAAAATACAAAGTAAACAATTTCTGTGGATAGGTCACCATTTACATTGCTCTGAATGGCTGCCAAGGCCCTTACAGAGCACTAATCCTTTTTATCCCCCTAAATCCATATTTCTCTAAATTCTTTCCATTATTTCTAATGTTTATTATCTTTTATTTTCTAATTTCCATTTTATGTATTTAATTTTAATTTTTT